GGAAAGAGGGTTTGCACTGTATAAACTACAAATTTCTCCAGTTTTTTCACATACAGGTTCTTCATAATTGTATTAATTTTCAAAAGCTTTATTTCTGGGGGGACAGATACTCAGCCACTAGCAATTGCTTGATCAAGTTCTTGCTGTGGGTTATAAAATTACTTCCTAGAAATCTTAGTTCAGGTAAAAAGTAAAGACCAGTGTGAGGGGAATGATTGGAGCTTGGATTTGTGATGACATTTAATTGCAATATTATTGAATTAATGGAGGCTATCTGTGATCTTTAGTCATATCTGAATCAAAGCTTGTTGGAATTCAACTTGTAGCGACTACCTTTACTTGAAAGTAGAAGAATTAGTAACTTGCCACCACAGAATTGTTATTGCACCCCTCGTTGATCTAAGGTGGAAAGGGGTAGTGCTTCACAGTTGCAATTTATGTAACTGTCCCTCCTTTAAAAGTGTATATATATAGGAACTTTAGATGTTCAGAGGTGATCAGTCTCTGGTGGCTGCATATGCTTGGAATTCCTGTTCCTTTCCTGCTTGTGTTAGCATTTCTTCTGCAGTTCATCTATGCCAGGAAGAAATCCAACTCATGGTGTCTTTGCTCTTTCCTTTCAGTCCCTTTGTAGTGACTTAGATGCAGAAACCCCTCCTTATTTTACAGATACAGCACATTGTCACTTAGATAAATAATGACCCTTAATAAATAAATGACCGTTATTTGAAAGAAACAGGCGAACTGATGGCACCGCTGTGCCCACTTACACGACCATCACTTCATTCAGAATTGTATTTGTTTCCCTCATCAGTGACTATGACCGTGAACAGTTTGCTGATAACCAGATTCCACTGCTGGTAATAGGAACTAAGCTGGATCAGATCCCAGAAACTAAGCGGAATGAAGTTTTGACCAGAACAGCTTTCTTGGCTGAGGATTTCAATGCCGAAGAGATAAATTTGGTTAGTATCCTTGTCAGCGCTGTTGTTTTTCTTTTATATGGGAGCAATTCTGGTTTTTAGTAGGTAAAGATGTTGCAAAAGTCAGGCTTTTGGAGATTTTCTCAGTAATGCTGGAGTCATGCACATTTTGATTGCCTGTCCCCCTTGCTTGATGAAACAATTGTCTTTATTTCACTGTAGGGAGGTGTAGGGGGTGTTAGATAAGGTCACTGAAGCTTAGAACTGATGGTTGGGAGTTAAATTTTCTCTTTCCTGTTCTTAGTTCTGACACAGATTATCTTTGAATGAAACATCAAGATCACTGTATTTATATATATGTATATATAATATGTGTGTGTGTATATATATATAAAAATATGCATGTGCTGTGTGAAAGCTTGCATATAGACACACATGCACACACACGTATGTGGAGCCTGTACAAATTATTGGCTGACAGTATAGCTGATGGCAGAAGGAAGATGTGGAGCGCATAGGGAGGCACTTAGAATTCTCCAGTTGCTTCACAGAACAGAAGTTGGTCTTTTTTCTCAGATGACCGTGGAGCAGAAATCAGCAGTGTTTTCCCTAGCCGATTGCATGTGCATCTGTCAGGGGAAAGGGTATGTTGATTTCCATGTGTATGGCTTCCTTGCTTTGAATTCTTGTGCTTGGTTTGTTGTCTTTTGTGTGTTCTAGGATTGCACCAATCCTCGTTACCTGGCTGCAGGTTCATCCAATGCTGTCAAGCTAAGCAGGTTTTTTGATAAGGTAAGTCAAGTCAATTAAAATATCTTTTATTGTTTCATGTATTGAACACTGTAATGTGAACATGGAATGACAGTTAGCTGCTCTTTCACGTTCCATTTTTTGAGTTGGTTCAAGCCAGGTGTGGGGATGCCAAAGATTGGTCTGCTTTTGGAAACCTCCAGAAAATAGCTGATCTGCTTGAAGGGCTAATTCTTGATCTGCATAGAGCAATGAAAAAGAACTCACAAATGTGCAGAGACATTCTACTTTTGGAGTCCTTTTGCAGGCCAGAGGGTTGCAGTGTGCTAAGGTAGTAATGTGGGGCGTTAGAAGACTATGGTTAGCTCTGTTGCTCCTGATTAAAGCAAGCCTTAGGAATTAAGAAACTTGGCGTATTACTCGCCCTTCATGCACAAGAGAACATAAAGGCCTACTGTGAAAATGACAGAAGGAATGCTCTGGTTTAAGCATCCCCTGGACAAAGCGATCATAGTGGAGCAGATCACCTCCTGTAACAGATTGTGCTTTAGAGGAAATTTGTCCTGAATTTTCTTTGGAGGAGGGTGTAGATTGTACAGGGTGATAGAAATCACTTTTTGATTCTTCGATTGACAGTACTGCCTCCATAGTTACCTTTCAGCACAGACAGTTTGTGCATCATTCTCAGAGAGCGAGTCATGCTACCTCTTCTCAGGCATCATCTATGCCCAGAGGCTACTTGGAACCACTGGAGTTGTTATGCACCCGCGCAATAAGCTTTTGCTAATGCTCAGAACTGCTGCGCTTGCAGAGAGGAATGGAAAAAGGAGACATCCAAACCATCACCTCCATTACTAAAGAGGGATAACTAAATTAGATATTTAGAAGTTGAGGATAACACAGCTTTACTAAGAGTGTCTGGAGGTGGCAACTCCTTCTATGTGTAATAGCGCTTTGCACTTAGAGCAATAAGCCTGGAGCAGGGGACGTAGGTTCAAACCTTGTCCCGGTTAGCCGTGAGTTTCAGTGCTCCCAAGGTTATGCATATGCTATGCCAGCTAAGATCATTCTTTGTTTTTCCCAGGTCATAGAGAAGAGGTACTTCTTAAGAGATGGCAATCAGGTTTGTCATTTTTTCTCCTTTTTTGTTTTGTTTCTCCCTGTGTAATGTGAACTGCTGACAGAGTCCTCTTTAAAACATGGGCTTCACGTGACTTAAATGATAATCTATGCTGGTAATCGAGTTTTTAAATCTATGGGAGCACAGCTGTTTTGGATAGAAAAATGGCTGACTTGTCATCTGAAGTATTTGTCTGTAATGTGATTGGCAGTGAAATAATTAAGTATGCTAACACAGTAGAAGTTGCAGGAGTGAGGTAAAATGGGCAAATATGATCTCTTTCAGATCTGTCAGCTTCAAGCTGCTTGGTTGCAGATTTAGGCCAGAGATGCTGTCATAAAGGTCAATGAAAAGGGGTTTTTTGCACAGCTGGGACTAGCATTTTATGTTTTGAACAAGTAGTTTTCATAGAACCAGCGGAGCCACAGGGAAAATGGCAGTATGATACCAGATTGTAATTCATTCCTAAATGGCTGAATTAACTGTGTTTTCAGTACAGTTGGTGAAGAACCAGCAAAATGACTCTCTTGGTTTGGGCAGGCCACTTCAACGTTTTGTGCCCCCACCTTTCTGGGTGCAGTCTGCTATGCGGGCAGTAGCGAGGTTCCACTTACCATATCTGTGAGGTGTTTGCAAATTACCATGAATAGCACCACTGAAATACAATTGAATGTATCGTTAGATGTAGCTGTGCTGAAAGTCCCTTAGGGAGAATGGGGAAAAATAGTCACAAATTACAGAATGCTTACTTTCTTTGAGCATTTTTTGTGTCTTTTAAAAATAAATTTGCTTTTTTCCTCTTTCAGTTCTGCATAATGCCTGTTTTCCTCCCCTCTCCCTTCCCCCCCACATTCTAGTGTAAGAAAGTCTCCCTTTCATGGGGATAATAGCTTAATGCAGAAATCTGCTTGTGTGATGGTTGTCTTTGATGCATGATGTAAGATTTTTATTTTTCTTATTTCATCGTTTTTTAGTGGCTAGCCAGGGATTAACTTTATATTCCTCATGGCCGTGTGCCAAAGATTACAGCCTTCTGATGACTACTTTCATCAGCCTCACTGAAAACAGCTCATAAGCTTAAAACAAATCTCAGGTAGTGGCGAGTCCAAATAGGAGCTGGAGATTTCATTATAACCTCTTAATGTTATTATTTGAAATGCTCTACTTAATGTAAATCTTACAAATGTGTTTGTGGGTTTTCTACAATAGGTCTCTTCGATCACTCGTGTTTTGAGGTATTTCTATTATAGACTTCTTCAGGATGAAAAGAATGATAAGTTTCAAATTGTTTGTAGCTATGACTTCGATCAGACCTCTGATAAATAATTGTTACTCTTAATTAGTGACTTTTATCTAAAAAATGCTAAAGCAGATACGTTTTGAGCTGTGGTGTTCTTCCACTTTTTTAGTTATAATGATTGCATTTTTCCTTTTTGAATTCCCAGAGTAGTTTTGATGAGATGAACCTTTGTGCAAAATCTGCCTGATTTTTCCCTTAGAGATGATTGCTTTTCAGAGATGAACAAAACAATTCCTGAATGAATATCTTGTATATCTCTTTGCATTTTGGGCCTGAAAAGCCTAACTAAATTTAAATTGTGGGCTTTTTAGTGGACTTTTATTTTGGGTAAGCTCTTTAGCTTTCTCAGTTTACCAATGAAGTGTGTAACCTAAACAATCTACTTTGTATTGTAAATGACATTTTTGTCCCATACCATCCATACATGCCTACCTTCTCCTGGCATGATTTGTAGTGCTTGGTTGACACCTTCCATTTAAATATATTGTATTTCCTATGAAAGTGTGGAATTGTTTTGGGAGGATGTGTTTACTGGGTCTGCTATTTCTGCTTGTACGTATTTAGATATCTAAAAGTTATTCTGGATTGTAATCAAATAGTTTTATGATGCTACCAATAGGACAGACATCTGATAGAGTATTAGAAAGCAGTGCGTCTCTTTCTTTTGGGGGGATTCACAGGTGCATTGGATTGCAAATCTGTTCGAAGTGCCCTTAAACCAGAGAAGCTTCTGATGGTTTCAAGTAGATTTTCTTTGTAAACACTCATTGTTCACCGTGTAAGCAGTGTCTACAGATTGGCTGCAAAAGCAGGAGTGCTAATCCTTTGTATTGTTGCAGCCTTTTCTATTCTGATGGTTTTCTTAAAGCTTTCAGCAATTGATAAAACTGTACTTTGAACTACCATTGAAGTGCTGCTGTCTCAGGTTAGAAGGCATAAAGTCTCAACAGCTCTTTAATAGAACTTGGTAATACTATTCTATAGTTTCAAAAATGAATGGAAGAGAAATTCTTGTATGCATTTGAATCGGGGGAAATACGGACTTTGAGATCTGTAATTAACTGGTTTAGAATTTGCCCAAGAAATTAAGGCATTCATTGCCAAAAAGCCTTAAGGAGCTCCACAGAACAAATGGGCCATACTCAAATTTTGCCTCTTGTTTAATTAATTGAATATGCTCCTCTAGCAGTAAGCTGAAGCATTTTAGTCCTGATTCTGGAGACGGCATGGAAAAGGAAGGCATTGTTGCAGTTGGCTTGGTAACAGGCGCTCAAATGTGAGCTATAGGGAGCTCATGCTGATTCTGACATGATGATGTATCTTTCCTGTCTCTAGATTCCTGGCTTCTCTGAAAGGAAAAGGTTTGGAGGAGGAACACTGAAGAGCCTTCATTATGACTGAATACGGAAGAAGTGGAAGATGACTTCTCCGAGTCTCTAACGGCATTCCCATTCCGACTGGATGCTTAAAGACAATAATGGTTATATCAAGCAGAGTAAAATGATTTTATGCTTTGGCTGGGTAGACTGCTGAAGCTACTTTTGCTGGAAAAGACTTGGGGAAGAATTTCCAAAAATCTAATCTGAAGCCTAGAGCGTTTCTTAGGATTGCAGGCTGTCTGGATATATGGGAACATTTGGGGAAAGTGTGCAATAAATTGAATGCCTCTCACACTGCTGTGGGAAACTTCATCATACACAGCATGTATATGCGACATCTTTGTCTCTGTTTTGGAAAACTTATGGACATTCTTTGCAAGGAATTACATTCGTCTTACCTCTGAAGGAAAGATGATACTGAGTGGGCATCTCATTTACAGTAAAGTGAACAAAACAAGTGAGCAAAATGTAAGGATGGGTAAGAAATAGTCTGCAAAATAATAGAATGCCTTCATTAAATGAATGTCTCACCTGGAACACACTGTTCAGCCCTATTCAAAAGGAATAAAAGAAATGGGCAAGAGATGAAAAAAGATTTGAAGCCTTCAAAAGAAAATGATGAGTAGAAAACAAGTCGTATTAATTCTGCTGCTTAAATTGTAATTGTTTACTTTGGGGAGGACAAAGTGAATCAGTTACTCCTGTTTATCTTTTCATAATTGAGTTTGGTCTTGTTCTTAATATTAAATTAAAAGGCCATGCATTGAAAGCTGATGGAAAAAGTATGTTTTTATACAATGCTTATTTAGAACAAATGGCCTCACTGAGCCCGAGAGCTTAGCGGATTCAGAAAACATGAAGTATAAGAACATCCTCTGAATTAGAATGGATAGAAATATAAAAGAGATATAAAGCCCCCTAAAAAGTAGGAACTGAGCATGACTAGAAGGAAAGTTCTGTGATAGGGATGTTTCCTTTTCATGTTTAGTACTAAGGATAAGGGAGACTTGACCTGGTCTGATCTACTGTGCAAGCTGTTGTCTTCCTAAATAGCCTGAGCTTTGCCGTTTCTCACCTCCCTGTAGTTATATGGAGTGGTAAAAGCCTGATTTATGGCAGTTTCTTCTTTCCCCTCCTTCCTCAATTCCCTCTAATGGTTAAGCCTCTGGCAAAGGCTAACTAAGAGCTAGAGTTAGATATAAATACAGATTAATAATAAATGGGGATAGAAGAAAGTAATGTGCTGGTGTGAAATTGACAGCGAGCAGAGTTCTGCAGTCTCCAGATTACATCTGCCTGCAGCTCTTCTCTAGCAGCTGCTTGGAAATAAATGGAAAACTGCCTATTGCCGCTAATCAGGCACAAAAATGACAGCTAGGTGCACCACTCAAACTTGTTACAAATATGGTTACTTTGCTTTTCCTTAGGCCATTTTTAGAAAGGTCTTGGAGCATTTGCGAACATGAGTGTAGTGAGTTTTTAGATGCTTGTATGAAATAGTTTTTTAGTTTACATCTACTTTGTGACCAGGGAAAATAAGGTACCGAAATACTCATAGCAGATAACCCGTGTCTGAGCTGTGCAGCTCATGACACCACCAATGTCTCTCTGCTCCCTTGACATTGAAAGCTGGAATTATTTTCTCAAGGTCAGGTGCTGTCTTAGGGTAATCAGATTTAGGCTCCCTCCAATTACCAAGGAACTGCAGACCAGAACAAACGAGCTAGGGCTATTTCTTCCTTCACCCTATGGCTTCTTTAGGAGAATTGGAAGTGTTGTAAAGGGAGGACGTTTACTTTAAGGTACTGCATGAAGCAGTGGTCATACAGGTCTTTGGTGTGGAGGAAGCAACTATCCTAAGTAGCACTCTTCAATGTAATCAGAAAAGGAACATTGCTCATCGTGCTGTAGGGTGACCTAAGCCCTAGTTGCAGCTTACCTGTATTCATGCTTTTCACTCCTGAGGCTCCACCAAGAAATGTCCTCGTAAGAGAAATCTTGTGAAGGTCAGTTCACACTCCAGGAAGAGGAGAGAATGCATAGTTCCTGTGCATCAGCGGGACTGAAGGTGAGATGAAAATCAGGATTTAGGAGGAAATTAGAAAAAGATACTGTTGTGATAGGAAGGAGACAAGATAAAGGGAATAGTACCGAGGAAAAGTAGAGGACATGGGCAAGCAGTAGAAGGTTAGCAGATTGAGAGGAAGTTTGCTTGAGGCTGTGGCTGCTGCTCTAGGTGCAGCTGGGTCTGTCTGCACTCAGTCATAAAACTCCTCCCAGGGTATCTCCATCCACTCAGACTGACCTGCTGGGTGGTCTGACAAGTGACCGTGGTCAGTCTCACTGTCCCACCTGCAAAGTGAAGGAGGCTTCCCTGGAGGCAAGACTCTGACGTATCTGTTTATCAAATTGTAGTGTTTTCAATACATTGGGAATTAAAGAGTTTACCCTTTCTAATTTTAGTCTGGATGTTTAACTTGAAGAAAACGAGTACCAGAGTTGTTCCAAGCTGTTTGTGTTGTCAGTATATTTATTACGGTATTGCCAACCTTAACTCTGTCCTACATAAACAAATCATTTAACTTCAATAGTTAGTTTTAATGCACTGACATCCTTTAGGTAGCCATCATTTGATTATAATTCTAAAGGGTAAAGGCTAAAATTTCTGTGCTGTTCTCCAGCAGTAACCCTGAAAAATGGTTGCAGACCCATCTGACCAGGATTACAGTGCTTTAGCATTTGTGTTCCCCAATTAGAATAGAAACACCTGTGTGGGTTTTTCCATGTGTTTTTACCTACTTTTCTTCTAGTATTTTATCAGGGCCGAGTTAAGGATATTAGCATATTCAACTTATGTTTAACTATAATCCTGAAATTTCATGGGTTTTCCATGCTTGGGGTTTGGATAATTGCAATATCCGTGGTTTGTAGGTTTTTTTCATGACTGGCACACACTTGAAATAGCTCCATATGATTTTTGTGTGGAGTAGTAGCTTCTGTTTTCCTAAATGTAATACAGAGGCAGAATGGACTGATAATTATAAATAAGACAAACCATGGGAATTGGCAGAAGCTGTTGTAGGCACCATTAACCTGCTGACTAGGTGTAGTGTGGGATTAGGTGCATTTTTCTTTTTATTTTAGTCAAAGATAGTGGCTCCATACCCAAGTGGCACCAGTTTAGCACCATACCGTGGTTGTACCCATATTGTCGTGTATAGAGCAAGAATATCTCGTGCCTGCTGTGGTGTATACCAAATGTCAGCATGCAGCAGGCGATGCGGAATGACTATCCCAGTTCTTTTCATTTACTTTACCCTTACTCCCTGCCCCATCCCTTCTGTGCTTCTGCTTTACTTCTATCTCCGAATGTCTGCACCGGCTCCCCCCATGCCCTGTATGACCCTTCTCTCTGTCTTGCCTGTGTCCACCCATGCCCCCCTTTTTCTGTCCCTCCCACTCCCTTTCTCTGCCCGCTTCCCGTGTCTCTCCTGTCTGACCCTTCCGTGTCACCAGGGGGTCGCAAAGGCCCCTCTGGTTCCCCCTTCCTTCCCCTGTTTTTCTGTTCCTCTCCACCACGCTTTGTCTCTCTTGCTGCACCACTTGATTCCTCTGTCCCTTCACCTCTCTCTGCGTGTGTCTGTCTCACTGTTGTCCTACATCTCTCCTGTCTGTCTCTCTGGTGTCTGTCACAGTCACACACATTTCACATCAAACACTTTTATCCAATTCCTTTAATGTGGAGCTACTCAATCTCTCTGTGTTATTTCCCAGGCAGAAATAAATGCCCCGGTGCTGTGTACCGGAGGTGTAAGTGAAGATGGCTCATGCAGGTACATTGGAGATGTGTTAGACTTCCCATGGGTACACAGGTGAAATGTATAGCAAACAAACAATGAGCCTCCCCTCTTCCCAAAGGGCTCGACAGAGCTTTCTGGTTGCTGATTGCCAGTCTGATGACTGAAGGGATAGTCAGAAGTATGAATACGTCCTAAATATGGAAAATCCTCCAAATCCGCCCCTCTTGATTTCCATGCAGAAAAGTAGGAAGCCCACGTGTACAGTAACCTTGAATTCTTGAGTATACGTTTTTGTTCTCGTAGCAACAGGACTGACGGATTCTTGCAGCAATCTTTAGCAAAGGTGCCACTGGCTTTAAGCGTGTGAAATCTATCCAGTAATGGGGGTTTGGGTGCAACTTTAATACAAATTTTCATTATTGACAATATATGCAAAGGCAGCTGCCATATGCTCCATTTATCACTAACAAGATATGAACTGCTGCATTGTAGCCTGCAGTCTATAGATTTTTTTGGTGGGGTGTAGTGAAGTCACTTGAATCCTCATTTTTCAGTTGATGAGGTGACAGACTTTACTGATGGAAAACCCACTTCTGCTTTTCAGCAAAGGGAGTTTAATCCCTCTATTTCTTTTGTTAGTCAGCTCTTCCCATTAGAAGTCATGTTCCTGTCTCACTTTCCTTATGAGGATGCTGGTTACTTTGATTCCTTTATAGAGCTGAGCAAGTCTGTGGCTTAGTGCACTAGTTTTCTTTGACAAAAAGCCATTATCATTATTGATGAACCTGTCACGGGCTGGCAAGTTACCAGAAAGTGCTGGGAGGTAAAGCTTTCCTTAGGGTGTGCTTTGCTGCAGCACTGCGCATTAGGTCCTCAGGCAGACACTGGTTTCAGAAAAAAACATCAGGTAGGTGTCAGGTAGGAGCAGGGAACAAGAACAAAATCAGTCCCTCTTTAATTTCAAACATCCAATTAACTGCAAAGCTTTCCTACGTAGTGAGGGCCTGGTAATACAGCCAAAAGTATTGTTCTTAGTATTATCCACTTGTGCTACTGTGGGTTTATTCTAATTCCTGATCAGTAAATGGGGACAATGTTTCCCTGTGATACATGAGAATACCCAGTGAAGAAGTTAAGAAGAGGTTTCATCACTAGCCATTGGTATATGAGCAGCAGAAGGACTTTCCAGTTGTGCAGGCAAAGCTGTAATAAACCGTGGTTCTCAGGACGTGAGTCTACACGGATCTTGAAATTACATGTAGTTCTCTACAAGTGAGAGTGATGAAGCCTGAAATGGTTAATGGAAGAAAGCAGATTTGTCATTGTTTGGAGTTTTTCAGGGTAGAATTAGTAGTTTTCTGAAAGATCTGCTTTAACACAGCTTTAAGGAAAAGTACCCCAGTATGTTTGTAATTTGGATGTGGCTTTGGGCAACTTGGTCTTGTGGAGGGTGTCCCTGCCCATGGCAGGGGGCTGGAGCTAGATGATCTTTGACGTCCCTTTCCACCCAAACCATTCTATGATTCTGTTTGTTAGGAGGTTGGTTTAGATGATTAGATGATCACTGTGGCAGTGAAGAGACTGTGAAATCTAGTTCTCAGTTTAGCTGCTTAGCCAACCCCTGCTGCAAATACCATTAAGTACAGAAATGTGTTTTCTTTTTCCTACTTTGGCATGACATCACTAAGACACAGCTTGTTGTGCCCCTTGGGCTTATCAATGCACAGAAACTCTGCTTTCATACATACTGAAGTTGCACAGGGAAATTCCTTCTCAGCATATCACCACGGACTTGTCTTAAAAAGATGTGGAATAGAAGACAAGCTCATAAATAAAAATACGTGCTCGCTCTTGACCACATCAACCAAACGAAAGTTTGGGCTGTGTGGGCCATCCACCTCAAAGTTCAGTCATTTATTTTGACTAGGAGAAGGAGCGTGAAGTGAAATAGTGTGTG